CCTACCTCTACCTCCTTCGTTCTAATTACATTTAAGTTATTCTGTTTTCCTTTGTCTTTTTTTTATCTTTATACTCTATCGATAACTAAATCGACAGTAACATCCATAGAAACGTTGATAACAAAACCGATAAGTATATCGATAAAATATCGATAACAAAATCGATAAAAAATCAATAAAAAATCGATAAGAATAGCGATTACAAAATCAGTAATAATATCCATAACAATATCGATAGCAAAATCGATGGCAATATCAATAAATAATATCGATAACGAAATCAATAGAAATGTCGATAACAAAATCGATAAAAATATCGATAACAAAATCTATAAAAAATATCGATAAAAAAATCTACATAAATGTAACAATACCGATAAGAAAAACGATACAAAACATCGATAACAAAAACGATTAAAATTGTGATAACAGAAATCGATAACAAAACCGATAAAAATATCGATTATTATATCGATAAGTTCCGAGAATACCGAAAATCTCCAAAATCCCGAAATAGTTCCCAGATTGAGTCTCTGTGCCTCTATCCTTTTCTCTATAATTAATACCTTTATTTTAATCTTTCTTCTTTTATTTTTACCTTTTCATTTATTCTTTTCTTTATCTATGTACGTACTCACCTTAACTTTTATAATTCTATTGGTCTTTTTCTAAGTGTTATTCCTTAACCTTTTGTTATAAGTTTTTCTTAAATTAATACCATGTGCATACACTCAATAAGCACCAGTTTCCGTCCCAACCATTTCCGTGTGCAATCTCTGTTGAATTTGCTAATTTACTCCAACCAACCAACCGGCGCTAAAGAAGTTTCACTTCAAAAATAGTTTGGACAGTCCCTCCGCGGATAGCCGGTTTTGTGATTGGATTATGGTTTGGCCAGCTTCAGAACGAGATATTTCAAATCTTGCATATTTCAATGGAATCATTTTTACAGTGTAACAGGTTGAAGATAAAAACATTTGTAATTCAAACTGCATTACATCTGAACAAGTTCGGTTGTTATTTAGATTTTTATTTGTCAAAGTTGTATAATGCTGCCAAGGGTCTCTTCACATAGGTTGGTTGGTAGGTGTGCTTTTATCTGTCGAATTGCCCTGCCTCATAGAGTGATGTAATACAGGATTCGTATTCCCGGCGGCGATGACATTTCTTAGGTAAAAGTAAACAAAACCAAATAGGTGGAGAAAATGAACTGTCAAAAGAGTCAATTTCCAAGTCAAGCCAAGTCCTTCCCTATTTGGCCTTTCCTTAGCAGTGGGAGCCTCCCTCTTCCTATAATGCAACCACCAGCGAGTTCCGAGTTGAATATTTTCAGAGCTGGGGCGTCGGTGTCCATTTGGCTGTCTGTTGGACGCACTTTTACCAGCGCCTGCACAGAGGCGGGTGCGTATCTTAGCTGCAAGAAGATAGTGGTCATAAACGAAGCGTGCCTTCCGCCTATCACAACATAACCGATTTATTTTCTCCCCAAGCGCTGCTACAAATATCCTTGGACATGGGGCGCAAATGAGCGATAAATTGAAAAATTTTGCTTGGATGCGGATTGTGGCGAGACGCTTGTCCTCTGGGGTGAACGACAGTACTGGACGCCGAAGTCTCCATCCCACCCAGAGGGGTAACTATAGGGCGGCAGGGCTGGTAAAATGCCACGGGCCCCCGATCCGTGAGGGCCCCGGCCCAAGTGACCGCGAGCTCAGAAATAACCTTAAATTTTTTACAAAACTAGTACTTAAAATAATTTTTTTTTTTTCAATTAAAGTGAGACACAACTAAAGACCATAAAGGTATACTTTATTTTATATCGTCCTGCTTTCCTGAAGTATTTACTGCATTAAATTTATTTCCGCTAGTGCTGGACGATCATTTCACAAAAATTAATAAAAACCTATTTGAGAATTTAAGACATATTTAGTTGAGGGTAGAGATGTGGGGTTACGTTGCATTATTTGTTGTCTTACCTTTCGTAGGTTTAACTACTTTCATCCAAATCCGTTATTTGATTTAAATTGTTTCACTGTGTTTTGTTGAGTTGGTCACTCGGACACTTATTCTGAGTTTTTCTCTTTGAATTCTCTAATTTAGTAGCCCCTAACGACATTGATCGTGCTAGATTTGTGTCACTGACGACCTTGGCTAAAAACTCATGTGGCGAATATTTAAATTGATCTAATTATATGCAAGCTGATCCAAATGCGGTGAAAAGGGTAGACTTAACGAAAAATAAAGTGAACAATTACGATGAAATCAACTGTATTTTCTCAACTCACGCTTATGTTACCAACTTGTGTTTCACGACACATATGACCGATATTTTATTCTCTTCATATGAAAGTATGTATGTTGTCTTGAAGGCACATGCAAATTATTTTCTTTGAAAGTGATTTCAATTTACAACAGAAATGGTTGGAATCAAGCCTAAATGCATGCAAAAATCAGTGACTTACGAACCGAACCATATGAATATATGTATGTATGTAGGTAGCTAGGGTGGCGGGGTTCATTAGGTACATATGTACATAAATCACTGAATTGCGTTCCAGCTTAGTTTAGTTTAGTGCAATTCAACATCAACATCAACAATAACAATAGAGTACTTAGTTGTATTAATCAAAAGCGACAATGGCACAACAAGTACAACAATAATATAACAAGCGAAATGCTATAGTGTGAGAACACTGCGAGAAAGAATTTCCTACTCGTATTTAGCAGACTTCAAATATTTTTATTTAATACAGTAAGTAATCGCCCCGCCACAGGCGCTGGCCTCCGAAATAGTATAAACAATTAAATAAGGATCATCTGCTGACTTTATGCATGGTGGTCAAATCTCTTTGAATACTGTGAGGCCATTTGGTAGGAGTGTATCTCCTTGAGATTTTGAAATACTTATTTTTGAAAAAAATTATACATATGCACTCCGTCCTTCTAACTTTATAAGCTTAAAAAAATAAATAAAACCAATTAAAAGGGCATTTTCGATACCTATTCGTACTTGTAAACTAAAATATTTAAATTTCACAGAATTTTCTCTTTAATTTTTTATTGTTCTTTTATAAATAACACAGGTTTACAAAAAAAAAAAATCAATCTCGAATCAATAATATTTTTGAAACTACAAAGTCCTTTAAACAAATTCTGACGTCAGAGAGAAAAACTAAAAACGCAGTTTTATTATATTTGGCCCATATTTTTGTGAGTACATATATTGATTGCTTAATGTGTTTCAACATTTTTTTGTTTTCGTCGCACAGTGTAATCCTTATAATTGGTTTATTTTTTTCCAATAAATTTTCGATCGTTATTTTTGATTTTTACTTTGAAATTCTACTTCCTGCACCTTCTTTTCTCAATTGCTGAATAAGTATTGAAGGTGTTCAATTTACAAATTGTTGTTTTTGTTACAGCGTACAAATTTCCCAATGAGTTTTGGGGAAT